GCTTCGGCGGCGACAACCAGCTCCACGACCGATGGACTTTCTGACGCCCGAGGGCTCCTCCGCCCGGAGCGTTCCTACCACAGATGCACATTGTATTATAATTCCAACAAAAAAGAGTAGCAGGAAAATATAGGGCAGGGGAGGGAATCCACCCCGTGATGTTACTGCAACGAGTGCTGTCTTTTTCCTGAAACTTTAGCATCTCCGAGTCGTGTCTCCATCGGAATCGCCTCCTTAGTCCTAAATTCAGAGTCTTGGAGTGATTTGACTTGATTTTATACTTGTGAAACCTTTGTGTAGACAGGGCCCCTTTGAAGGGCTGAGGACCCGGCCCTCGCTCCGCGGCCCCTCACGGAAAGGTGGCAAAAATGGGAAAACCCTCCCCGTTCGGGGCTTCCTTTCGGCCAAGGGGGCACGGGAACAAGGTGAGTTTTGTCTCTTCTCCGGCCCCTTTCCGTGCCCCTCGGCCCGCGTGGCTGGATCTGGATCCAGGAGTGTTGGTTTTTCCCCTCTTTTTTGAGTTCAAGTAAAAGGAAAGAGGGCCGGAGATTTTCCCTGGGGAGAGGCAGAGGTGGAGCCGGAGAGATCCGAGTCTCACGAGCCCGCGCTCCTGGGAACAGGAATGCACAAGCAGAGGGGTTGTCTCGTGAACTTCTCTTTTTTTATTTCCATTTTTCTTTCTTTTCCTCCTTTTTTTTTTCCCTGCCCCTTCTCCATGTGCCTGTTGTCCCCAGGGCTGTGCAAACCTGTCCTGGACGCACAGCGAGTCATGTAGGATCCTTTCCTTGTTCCATAGGGACCACATTAAAGGCATCTTCAGGAAAGCGGACCGAACTGCGTAACCATTTCCCCGGCCTATTCCTCAGTGTTTAACTCGCCCGCAAAAAGACAAAAAAAAAATCTTAATTCCCTCTTATTCTGGTAACTTGAAGAGAATCTCTTTATTTTTTGCAGATTTTTGTTTTATTTGTATTTTTTCTTCCACTCGTGTAACACTTTGTCCCCGTTCGACTCCGTGTTTTCGTTGTCCGAGTCCTGGCTGTGCTTGGGGCCCCCCGGCCCCGCGTGGCGGCGGCGGGAGGAGAGGGCGGTCGCGGCTCCGCGCGCGGCCCCTTCCCTGCCGCGACGGGTGTGCTACGTACGCCCGCGTTAACTAGTGGTTTGTTTGCTATTAAGTCAAATAAAGGCCTTTATACAGAAGAGAGGCGTCCGGAGGGTCCTTGGGGCCGTGAGAGGAACCGGGATGCTCCTGTGGGATGAGCTGGGGGGAAATGGGATCCGGTGCCGGCTGCAGAGGGGCTTTTCCACAAGGAAAAGTCTCCCCCGGCTGGTGGAGGCTGGTGCTCGAGTCCTAATGTGGACACGGGCTGCCCGGATCCCTCCGAGCTGCGGATCCAGGAGCGCATCCCTATGGACACGGGCTGCCCGGATCCCTCTTCACTGTGGATCCAGGAGCGTATCCAGAGGGGCTGCATCCCCATGGACACGGGCTGCCTGGATCCCTCCTTGCTGAGGATCCAGGAGTGTATCCAGAGGGGCTGCATCCCTATGGACATGGGCTGTCCCGATCCCTCCTCGCTGTGGATCCAGGAGCGCGTCCAAAGGGGCTGCATCCCTATGGACATAGGCTGCCCAGATCCCTCCCTGCTGCACTTCTAGGAGTGTATCCAGAGGGGCTGCATCCCTATGAACATGGGCTGCCCGGATCCCTCCTCACTGCGGATCCAGGAGCGTATCCAGAGGGGCTGCATCCCTATGAACATGGGCTGCCCGGATCCCTCCTCACTGCGGATCCAGGAGCGTATCCAGAGGGGCTGCATCCCTATGAACATGGGCTGCCCGGATCCCTCCTCACTGCGGATCCAGGAGCGTATCCAGAGGGGCTGCATCCCTATGAACATGGGCTGCCCGGATCCCTCCTCACTGCGGATCCAGGAGCGTATCCAGAGGGGCTGCATCCCTATGAACATGGGCTGCCCGGATCCCTCCTCACTGCGGATCCAGGAGCGTATCCAGAGGGGCTGCATCCCTATGAACATGGGCTGCCCGGATCCCTCCTCACTGCGGATCCAGGAGCGTATCCAGAGGGGCTGCATCCCTATGAACATGGGCTGCCCGGATCCCTCCTCACTGCGGATCCAGGAGCGTATCCAGAGGGGCTGCATCCCTATGAACATGGGCTGCCCGGATCCCTCCTCACTGCGGATCCAGGAGCGTATCCAGAGGGGCTGCATCCCTATGAACATGGGCTGCCCGGATCCCTCCTCACTGCGGGTCCAGCAGCGCAGCCAGCAGGACCGCATTCCCGCGGGACACGCAGATCCTGTCCCTGCACCCAGGTTTTGGGCCAGGAAGAGGTTTCTGCTTCCACAGGGTTGGAAACTCCGGCAGGTCTGGAACCGTCCCCCCCCTCCCCGCAACCTGCCGCCCGGCTGGGCGTTATCCATGGAAAAGCAGCTCGGAAGCTGCTGCTGCATCTCCTGGATGGCACGGAGGGACCTGCTCCATGGCAGGATGAGAGCCCGGGAAGGGCTCCCGGATGGGTGGAATGTGACAGCAAAAGGGAAAAAGAAGGGAAACGAGAGCAGCAAAGGGAAAAAGAAGGGAAACGGGAGCTAGAGCTTTTGAGGATTTTTTTTCTCTTGTGATTGTTTTAATCCGCTGCGTCTGCCCGCTGGTTGTGCCAGGTCACGGTCCCTGGAAGAGCCCCCGGATGAGGGAGTTTCGGAGGCCGCGCAGCTCCTGGGATGTGGGATATTTCCAGCGTTCTGCTCCTGCTTCCTCCCTCCTGTCTTGCCTGCTGCTATTCCCAGGTCTTGGAATGTGCCCGAAAGCTGGGCCGGGGTGGCGGCGTGTCCCCCCCGTGCCCTGCGCTCCGTGCGCTGGTTCGGATGGGGGAATTTCCCCCTTCCCGGAGCGGAAAGGGTCGCGGTTCGGGAAGCGGAGCAGGGAGCGGCTCCGGCTGCGGATCAGCTT